TCCACAAGGATCCGTTCCGGCACCACTGCTGCACGCGGCCGTTTTGTGGGTTCTCCACCCGAAACAATTGAACTCTATCTCTTATTTTTAACCGAAGTTAATCTTTTGCTCAAGACTGTATTTGATTTTTTTGTAGATTGGAAGTAATACAGACGATTTTTATAATATTATTTAGGAGGAAGGGGGTAGTTTCGAAGCTCGCCAACTTGCTGAAAAACATCACATGAAAAATAAATTCAAGCAGCCTTACGAACCGTTTTGACATAAACACCCGGAAAATAGTTTCCACAAAGGTCATTATTATTAACGAGCTGATGCGATGCTATAACAGAAGAAAATGTAGCTACATATCTCGAGAGTGAATATCAATTTTACTTACTTATTTCCCCGGACTCTTCTTCATAATCATATTCAGCTACGGTCTTCTCCATACTGTCGGTAAAATAAAACTTTGTGTTATCTTTTGACCAGGCGATACCGTTGCTTATACTGGTGTTCAATATTTTCTCTTCCTCTTTCCTTATTTCACCACACTTTATCATGTACAAAGTGCCACCTTTAGGTGATACTGATAAGTCATCTTCACGAGTTAGAGTACCTTGAATCAATTGAGGAAATTAGTACAGTGAGAAATGACTCACATGCTAAAAATTTGAGGATTTTCCGCAGTGTAGAAACACGATGGACAGGATGACGGCGATAAAATGCTTCTTTCCAACAACGATAAAAACTGGCAGCTTTGAAACTAACAGCAATGAAGTTAACATCTAGTCGTATGGTCCAGTCATTTTAGTCAAAATTAGATAAGTATCAGTGATTGATTCTGAACATTCGGCGGTTCTAAATGTCCAACCATATTTATCTGAAAGACTTATGAGCGAAACGATTCATATCCTAAAACACGATTGGGTCAACACTGAAACGGAAGTTGATACTGGATGTTTCAATTTAATGAATGGTAAACCGAAATAATTCCTTTTTAATTATTTCAACACGCATGTATTAGCTTCACACGTATGGATGTATGTATGTATGTTTGTTTGTAACTTTCAAGTTCGAGATCTGTATTTGACAGAATTATCGACATTATTGCTTGATCTATTCGCGGGCAGATGGCGCTGTACGTAATCTCCTTGATAATAATTCGAACTCACTTTACATGTATTTCTTTACGTTGAAAAACGTATTTTTTTTTATTAACACGCGCGCCTACTGGCTTATTTGTGACCCTCCTTTGCGCGCCTGATGCCTCGGGCTTGGTTGCTGATTTTCAGGCTCCCTCTCCGGATCGGAAAATATCAACGGCCCTTTTTCTAAACAATATACGGCTGATTGATCCGGAAGTTTAGATCAAATAAAAACAGTTCAAAAAGACTAAAAACCACGCTTTTATAGCATACGAAACTAAAAAATGAAAAATAAATACAGTTAAAAAATCTAAAAAACACGCTTTTAAAGAACATCAAACTGA